TTTAGCTCCAAGATACTGGGAGGGAAGAACCCACTCATTCTGTTTACTTTTAAAACATTAAAATTAGGCATGGTGGAAAACATCTGTAATTTAGGTATTCAGGAGGTTGAGGCAAGGGAAGATTGAAAGTTTGAGGCCAGTCTGGATTATGTAACAAGAGATTGCCTCAAAAAAAATTTTTTTTTCCTCCAAACCTATGGATTAAACATAATCAATATAGGAATTCTGTGGTGGTGTTGAGAACAGAGACTTCCTTAGCTTGGAGAACTAGGGTCTTAGAAAACTTGAGAATCACAAAAGGCAACTCTAGCAAGGGGCTTCTAGGTGATTATTTCAAAATTCAAAGACTCAAATGCATGGACCACATTTTAGAGTTTTAGAGACAAGTTTATTATAGCTTTGTAGTTAGAAGCTTAAGAGAAACAAAGACAGATGCACCATTTGAATTAACCTGAAATTGAGGCGAGTCACATGGCAGACAAGAAAACACATGGTGAGAACCGGAGTTTCATGGAAAAAGCAAGGAAACCCAGAGTACCAGCAAAAGTATACGTAGGCACCGGTCAGGACCAAGAAGAGACAGAGGGGCAGGCCCAAGGGAATCTTACGGCTGTTGTAGAGACTGCATGGCCAGGGATTCGGGAAGGAAAGGTTCATTACCTTATTAAAGAGCTAATTATTCCTCTAATCTCTTCAGTGGGTGTGGCAGGATTTTTCCTGTCCATTGTATTTGCAGTGGAGCTCTGTCATTGGATAGAGAAGAGGTAGGCGGAGCTAGGAGTTGAGAGGAGGAAGGAACGAAGAAGGAGGAGGAGGAGAAGTGAGATGGAGGCAGATGTTACCCTCGTGTCTCTAGCTATCAAAGGTAGTTATTATTGTCAAGGTTAGATAATTTGGGTTAACAATTCTAATTGTGTGGGCATCCTGTGTATTGAGTATTTGCTGATATATAAATCTATTTGGTGAATCTTTAAGCATTAAGAGTCTTATTTCTATCAGGTACTGGAATTGTTATATCTACCACATGGAGGTTGAGGTGGCGGATATTTCCTGGGTTTTGGGGGGCTGGACGCAACAGAGCTAATTGGTGGAGGCAACAGCCACGTCAGTGTCTCATGGGCCCCAGGCTGGTGCCACTGGCCAACTAGTGCAGCAATTAGTGTGAGAACTTAAAGCAGGGACACGGAGGCCAGGCCGGAAACTAGCTGGATTGCTCCTTTTTTCTAATACCTCCTGCAATAAGTGGGCATTAAGGTAAACCTACCATATGGAGGGATGGTCCCTTGGAAAGGTGATTAACAGATAAAATTGGATCAATTCTTTTATAGAGAAATCATTTTACTTTTAGTACTAGTATGTGTATGGGGGATTTGCCTTCATGTGTATTTGCATTTCTGAGTCCACAGAGCCAGAGAAGCTATTGTATTCTCAAGAACTAGAGTTACAGACAGTTGTGAGCTGCCTTGTGGGCACTTAGAATTGAGCCTGACTCCTCTGGAAGAGCAGCCAGTACACTTAACCATGGAACCATCGCTCTAACCCCTGTGGTAACTCTTGGGGTATAAGATACTAGCTTATGTCCATTCTTTTGGCTAGGAGGCAATGGCTTTACCTAGTGGCCTTCAGCACTATGGTAGCCCACTTCCCAAAGTAGCACCCCAAAAGCAACCAAGTGCTAGGATTGTAGACATGAGCCACCATACCCAGATTCACTTTTATTTTAATTTATTTGAAAGAGAAGGAGGGAAGAAAGGAGAGACAGAGAGATACAGAAAGGCTCTCTGCTCCTCCCTGTTCCAGAGATCGCCGCATCTTCTTGTGCAGTGTCAGCCTCATCCCGTAGACAAAATGGTGAAGGTCGGTGTGAACGGATTTGGCCGTATTGGGCGCCTGGTTACCAGGGCTGCCTTCTGCTCTCCATCTGGTGGCAAAGTGGAGATTGTTGCCATCAATGACCCCTTCATTGACCTCAACTACATGGTCTACATGTTCCAGTATGACTCCACCCATGGCAAGTTCAACGGCACAGTCAAGGCTGAGAATGGGAAGCTTGTCATCAATGGGAAGGCCATCACCATCTTCCAGGAGCGAGATCCCGCTAACATCAAATGGGCGGATGCTGGTGCTGAGTATGTTGTGGAGTCCACTGGCATCTTCACCACCATGGAGAAGGCCGGGGCCCACTTGAAGGGTGGGGCCAAAAGGGTCATCATCTCTGCCCCTTCTGCTGATGCCCCCATGTCTGTGATGGGTGTGAACCATGAGAAGTACAACAACTCGCTCAAGATTGTCAGCAATGCGTCCTGCACCACCAACTGCTTAGTCCCCCTGGCCAAGGTCATCCATGACAACTTTGGCATCATGGAAGGGCTCATGACCACAGTCCATGCGATCACTGTCACTCAGAAGACTGTGGATGGCCCCTCTGGAAAGCTGTGGTGTGGTGGCTGTGGGGCTGCCCAGAACATCATCCTGCATCCACTGGTGCTGCCAAGGCTGTGGGCAAGGTCATCCCAGAGCTGAACGGGAAGCTCACTGGCATGGCCTTCCGTGTTCCTATCCCCAATGTATCCGTTGTGGATCTGACATGCTGCCTGGAGAAACCTGCCAAGTATGATGACATCAAGAAGGTTGTGAAGCAGGCATCTGAGGGCCCACTGAAGGGCATCCTGGGCTACACTGAGGACCAGGTTGTCTCCTGTGACTTCAACAGCAACTCCCACTCCTCCACCTTTGATGCTGGGGCTGGCATTGCTCTCAGTGACAACTTTGTAAAGCTCATTTCCTGGTATGACAATGAATACGGCTACAGCAACAGGGTCGTGGACCTCATGGCCTACATGGCCTCCAAGGAGTAAGAAACCCTGGACCACCCACCCCAGCAAGGACACTGAGAACAAGAGAGAGGCCCTTGGTTGCTGAGGAGTCCCTGTCCCCAACACTGAGCATCTCCCTCACAATTTCCTTCCCAGACCCCGATAACAACAGGAGGGGCCTAGGGAGCCCTCCTTACTCTCTGAGATACCATCAATAAACATTCACTGCACCCCCCCAAAAAAAAAGAGAGATACAGAAAGACAGAGAGAGAGAGAGAGAGAGAGAGAGAGAGAGAGAGAGAGAGAGAGAGAG